TGGTCCCCCTCCAAGGACCCATCCCTGTTCCCCAGAACAACAACGTGGACAACCCCAGCTGCGCTGGCATCGAGGGGGTGCTGGAGTCCTACCTGCAGAGCCTGCGTACCGTCCAGCTCTATGGTCCCACCAACTTCGCCCCTGTCATCAACCAGGTGGCTGGGTGAGCGCCGGGGGACTTTGTCCCCTTTGCTGTCCCCAAATGCCACCAGTCCCACAGCGGGGCCGGCTGCGCCACACCAGTGGGGCTGCTGGAGGGACCCCATCCCTTGTCCCCATAGGACGGCTGCCCAGGTGACCGATGGCTCGCAGTACCATGTCCTCCTCATCATCACCGATGGCGTCATCTCTGACATGCTGCAGACCAAGGAAGCCATCGTCACCGTGAGTGCAACCTCGTTGCCGTGAGTTCATCCCAGGCTGACTGCTGCCCCAGCTGCCACCCTGCCTCTGCTCCACAGGCTTCCGCCTTGCCCATGTCCATCATCATCGTGGGAGTGGGTCCGGCTGAGTTTGAGGGTGAGTTAGGGCTTGGGGACACCAGGGAAGGGAGTTGGAAACCCCATCCCTTCCTCCAGATGCCCCTGGGACATGGCGCCCCAGAGGAAGGGATGGTGTTTCCATCCCCGGTGGCCACCCCACCAAGGCGTGGTGACACTGGCTGTCACTCTCCAGCCATGGAGGAGCTGGATGGTGATGAGGTACGGGTGTCTTCCCGAGGACGCTACGCCGAGAGAGACATCGTACAGGTAACACCGGCATTGAGTCCGGTCCCACCATGGGTGAGAGATGCTTAGCCCCTCGCTGACCCCTGCAGCCACTGGATTGTTTCCAACTGGGCTGCAAACTTCTTTCCCTCAAAGTTTGTTCCGTTTCGGGATTACGTGGATGACTCGGGAAACCAAGTGCTGAGCATGGCCCGCCTGGCCAAGGACGTGTTGGCTGAGATCCCCGAGCAGCTGCTCTCCTACATGAAGACCCGTGACATCAAGCCTCGCCGGGCAGATCCCCAGTAGCTCCTCCATGGGCCACAGGGCCAGCTGGTGAGGCAAGGACATGTGTCACCTTCCTTCTGCCGCTGGCCAGGCCTTGGC